AGGCACTGGACTGAAATGAGGCTTCCCAAGGGCATGACTGGGATTTCAGCCAGGGCTTGCTGCTTTGCCACTTTCAAAGGAGAAGAGCCAAAGTGTTTTGCCCTGTATCAGCAGCAGGCCTGCTGAATTTGCAATGGATATGTGTTTGCAGAGTGATGCCAAGAGAAACTTGTACTTCTAAATTCAGAGTAATAGGAAACAGCATGCTGATAATTAGATTCAGAAGAAAGCTTTCAGAAGTTGGAAGCTTAGAAGGGGTGGGATAATAGAGGGGAATAAAACAAATTTTCCATTGATGGGCCCCATGCCCTATCATTGTTAAGCAGAGGGAGGTAATTTAAGAAAAGAGGAGGTGTAGAAACAGGTTCCAGCTCAGCATCACAGGCAATCCCCATCCCAACCTACCTCGGTTCCCCAGGTTCTCCTTTGTAATAGGTTTGAGGCTCTGGAACTTGAGGGAGAGGTGAGTGAGGATGCAGCAGGAGGTTCACCCACAAGGTTGTCAAGGGCTGCCTCTGCCTAGAGGGAAAGAAGGGTGATTGTCATAGGCAACTCCTTTCTGAGAGGAACAGAGGGCCCTGCATGTCAGCCAGGGCCTACCCATATGGAAGTGTGCTGCCTCCCTGGGGCCCAGGTCTGGGATATTTCTAGGAAGCTTCATAGTCCGACTCTCCCCTCTGATTATTATCATTTATTGGTAATTCAGGCCGGCAGCAATGAGGTCACTAATAAAATCGTGAGGACTATCAAAAAGGACTTCAGGGGACTGGGGTGGTTAGTGGATGGAGCGGGTCATATTTTCCTCTATCTGTTCAGTGGTAGGGGGGCATACTGAGCTGAGAAGCTGGTGCAATTGCAAGAATTCAGGTGTTTTCAACCATGGGTTGGTTTGAGCTCAACCTGATGGCTACTGATGGTTCTCACCTTTCTCAAAGGGGGCAATGGATCTTAGCCCAGGAGCTGTCAGGGCTCATTGAGGGGCTTTAAAGTAGATATGAAGGGGGCAAGGGATAAAACCAGACCTGCTAGAAATAAGCCTAGAGGAATGATGACAGACTGGGGAGCGATGCAAGGGGCTCAGCTGAAGTGCAACTATACCAATACATGCTGCGTAGGCAAGAAACAGGAGAAACTGGAAGCCACTGTGTGGCAGATAAATTATGACTTAGTTGCCATCACGGAAACATGGTGGGATCACTGCCACAGCTGGTGTGGTGCAATGGATGACTGTATGCTCTTCAGAAGGGACAGGCAAAGAAGGAGGGGTAGTGATGTGACTCTCCGTGTTATAGAGTACTTCAGTGTTGTTGAGCTCAGTGCTGGGGATGATAAGGTTGAATCTCTACAGGTAAAGATCAGGGGAGGGCCAACAAGGCTGACATCCTGATGGTAGTCTGTTACAGACTGCAGGGCAAAAGAAAGGCAAAAGCCCAGGTTGAACTCAACTTGGCATCTGGGGTAAAAGAGAACAAGAAACTTTTTTACAAATATATTAACAGTATGAGGAAGCCTAAGAAGAATCTCTGTCCTTAACTAGATTTGTTGGGGAACATGACCACTGAGGATAAGGAAAAGGCTGTCATTCTCAATGCCTTCTTTACATCTATCTGTAAAAGTCAGACCAGTCATCCTCGAGATACTCTGCCCCCTGACCCGGACATCTCAGATGGGGAGCAGAATAAACCCCGTGCTATTCGGGTGGAAACAGTTAGAGACCTACTGCTCTGGACTGCCACAAGTCCATGGGGCCAGATGGGATTCAGCCAAGGGTGCTGAGGGAGCTGACAGAGGTTATTGCCAAGCTACCTTCCACCATCGATCAGTGTTCCTGATAACCAGAGAGGTCCCAGAGGACTGGAGGCTTGCCAGTGTGACTCCCATCTACAAGGGCTGTAAGGAGGATCCAGGGAACCTGTCAGCCTGACTTTGGTGCCAGGAGAGGTTATGGAGCAGATTGTCTTGAGAGAGATCACAGTACATGTGCTGGACAACTGGAGGATCAGGCTCAGCCAACACGGATTCATGAAAGGCAGGTCCTGCTTGACCAAGCTGATTTCCTTATGTGATCAAGAGACCTGCCTCGTAGATGAAGGAATCATAGAATCACAAGGTTGGAAAAGACCTACAAGATCATCTAGTCCAACTGTCCTCGTATCACCATTGCTACCACTAAGCTAGTAAACCATCTCTGAGCACATCATCCAGATGCCTCTTGAACACTGCCAGGGACAGTGACTCCACCTGTCACCCTGTGGTCAGGCCATTTCAGTGCCTGACCACTCTTTGAGAGACAAATACCTTATATCTCATTTAAATCTCCCCAAGAGCAACTTGTGGTCATAAAAGGGAAAGGCTGTTGGGTAGTCTACCTAGACTTCAGCAAAGCCTTTGACACTGTCTCCCACGGAATTCTCCTGGAAAAGCTGGCAACTCATGGCTTAGACAGCTACACTCTTTGCTGGATATATAAATGGCCGGATGGCCATAGCCAGAGAGTGGTGGTGAATGGAATTAAATCCAGCTGTTGACCAGCCATGAGTGGTGCTCCCCAGGGGTCAGTATTGGTGCCTGTCCTCTTCAGTATCCTGACTGATGACCTGAATGAGGGGATTAAGTGCACACTCAGTATGTTTGCAGATGACACCAATCTGAGAGGAACTGTTGATCTTCCTGGGAGTAGGAGGTTCCTACAGAGGGATCGGGACAGGCTGGATAGCTGGGGTGAAGCCAATGAGATGAAATTCAACAAGACCAATTGCTGGGTCCTGCATTTTGTTCCCAGTACCCCCAGGCAACATTTCAGGCTTGGGGCAGCATAGCTGGAAGACTATGTGGAAGAAATGGACCTGGGATGTTGGCTCACGTTTGGCTGAACGTGAGCCAGCAGTGTGCCCAGGTGGCCAAGAAGGCCAATGGCATCCTGATGCATTATCAGAAATAGTGTTGCCAGCAGAAGCAATGAAGTCATCATCTGTCTGCACTCGGCATTGGTGAGGCTGCCCCTTGGGTACTGTGTTTAGTTTTGGGGCCCTCAGTATAAGAAAGAGATTGAGGCTCTGAAGCCTGTTCAGAGAAGGTCAGCAAAGCTGGTGAGAGGTCTGGAGCACAAGTCTTATGAGGAGCAGCTGAGGGAGCTGGGATTGTTCAGTCTGGAGAAGAGGAGGCTCAGGGGAGACCTCATTGCACTCTATAACTTCCTGAAAGGAGGTTGTGGTGAAGTGGTGGTGGGCCTGTTCACTCATAACTAGAGATAGGACTAGAGGGAATGGCCTCAAGTTGTGCCAGGGGAGATTCAGGTTGGAAGTTAGGAAATTTCTCCAAAAGAATGGTCAGGTGCTGGAATGAGCTGCCCAGGGAGGTGGTGGAGTCACCATACCTGAAGATGTGGAAAAAATGTTTAGATACCGTACTGAAGGACGTTATTTAGTGGGAATTATTGGTGTTACGTGAACAGTTGGATTGGATGATTTTAGAAGTCTTTTCCAAACTTGGTAATTCTGTGATTCTATAAAATTTGAAGACAGCTCTCTGAACACCAGCATCTCCAACAGAAACCACAGAGCCCTCCTTCAAATCCCTGCATTCATTGCAGCATAGATTTGAGAAGGGAACAAAGATTTCCCTGAAGGAAAAAGTTCTAGTTCTTCCGTCAGAACCAAAAGGTGTGCTTCTTGGAGCTGGTGGGAGCCTGTCATAGGATTGGTAGTCAGACCTGATCATACGCACCAGCATTCTCTTCTCCTACTCCCCTCTCTATACTTGTCTTAACAATTTAATCCATAGCAGTTTGTCTTTAGGGGCTACAATTGATCCATCTGTGATTTAGCTCATCAAATGCTCATTAAATAGCTTGTAGTCTTTCTTATTCGTGAGGAGTAAGAATCAGTGATCTAAAACCACTTAACTGGATTCACTTAGTATTCTGGGATTCTGGGAGGCTAGTAAGCTTACATGAGTTATGATCTAAAGGTGAGCTGCCAAGTGAACATGAAGAATGATCCAAGTGCTGCTGATGTGCAAGTGCTCTCTGACCTTCGGTGTCAGGTGTGAGCAGCGTGGAGAATTATTGTTAAAATCCCAGGAGAGATTTCTTGCTGCTCTGTGGAGGTATCCCAGAATCCCCAGTCTGTATGTGATCAGATAATGCAGTTTGTGGTGGAGCTTCTGAAACTATATGTGCAAGGGAGGCACCACTTTATGCTAGCACTGTCAGCAGGATATGCAGAAGTATTTTCTGCCTTGTATATATAGTTTGAGCTTGACATTTGTTTTTCTTTTTTAAGCGTTGCTATTGTTCTGAGCTGCTGTCTGCACTCCAGCGGTGCCTGTGGTGATACGCATTTCTCACACCGCCTGCATCACCATACCCTCCCCCCGAGAAAATGCCTGTCACCATCCCTTAGCAAAGATATGCTGACAGTTTGCAAAAGACAACAATGGGCCTTCGCTGCAGAAAGCAGTTTCCTTTCCCAGGTCATTAAATGAACACTTGAAACATTTCCAAGATGTAGGAAGGTGAAGTGGGATCTCTGTTTTGTTCCTTTCCAAGCTTGGCTCTGCATGTAGAGAATTCCGTGAAGATGGATAATTTCCTGCATTTCACTGTGCAATCTTATGCCTTGCATTTTAAACTCAGCATATGATGGAGATCTCTTAAGTGACTACAGCCACAGTGAGCTCTTAAATTCTCCATATTCTTTTAAGAGACCACATCAGGCAATGCATGCAGTGCACAGTCTGTTAACTATGGTCATGAATCATGTTAACCTTTGAGGCCCCATAGACAAAGCCCACCGTGAAGGATCTGAACCTGAACAGGGCACGTCACAGTTCAGATTCACTGAATTCCCAGATGTATGTTTTAAGATTGCAAAGTCTTTGGGAAAAGACACCTTTTCAAATTGCTCAAAATAACAGTATTTATAAACACTCAGTGCTTGTGTTTATAATTGCACCTTGTTCTGTGTAAATATTAATAAGGTATTTTTCTTTCTTTGTAGTGTACAGAGGCCAAAAAGCATTGCTGGTACTTTGAAGGGTTATATCCTACCTATTATATGTAAGTAGTCATCACTTTCCTTTTTGCGATTTCTAGTGAACAAGAGATAACTAGATTCTTTCAGCTCTTAGAATGTTATTCTTTCATGGATTATACTTTTTCCATCATTTTTTTGAGATCTTTTCCCCGTCTAATTTAAAAATGAATGTGCAAGAAATTTTATTTCCTCACTTTCCCCATCTATTCTGATCTATTTCCCCTCTAATTATTAAAAAAAAGAAAAAAAAAAGTATACAGACTCATTTCCCCATGCATTCAGATGATCTTTCCAGTTGAAAACAAAGTGTTGGATATTAAACAGCTCTCTTTTCAGAATGATGAAAGGAAACATAAGTGGAGCTGTGTGAGGACAGTTCTCTCTTTGTTTTGAACAAGGGAAGGTAATCAAGGAGCATACCAAGAGTATCTTTGTCCCTATGGTAATACTGCTGCTTAATTTAGGGATTTGAGATGATTTATTGTCTGTGGCATTAACTGTCATTTTGATGGGTGGTATCTATATTCATATCAGGTTTGGGTGTTAACTAAATGCCAATGAACTGTAGGTGCATGATTGAGGATCTTTCTAAATTGCAGTTTTTTGTTTTAAATTGCTCACAGCAACAATAAAGAGGTGGATGAAATGTATGAGTGGGCAGCTATTGTTCGTGTGTGTTTGGGGGCAGAAAGGAGATAAATGCGCTAGACTTGGGGTTATGTAACTTTATAATTGCAAACATCTTTTAAACCTAAGTTTAAAAAAAAATAAATGGGGTGAGGAGTATGTAGCAGCAACAGGTCAGTGTTACCTGAGCAAACTGTTCCCCGCTCACAGGTAGGAAATTACTGTAATTTCCTGATCTCCCCAGGACCCTTCCTCCTTTTTCTTCTCCACCTCCACTTCATCTGCCAGAAGCAGGAGAGAAGCGCTAGAGACAAAAAACAGCCAGGAAGCCAGGCAAGAAATAAAGCTCCCTGAAAGACAGAACCACTCTGTGGTTTAATTATCTGTGATCCTGAATATTAACTGCTGAGGAAGTGTTTTTGCCTGCAATTTACTGTCTATTTTTCATCTGACTGAAATGTTGAGAATGGCCTGAACTGTATGTACAAGACATAAAATGTTTCTGCATAAATGGTTGGCTAGAACATATGAGTGAATTTAAATGAAATGATTTTCTTTGCATTCTAATGACAGCAGGACTTTGGTTCCACCTACATTTTATTTTGTTGCAATGTGGGAAAGAAGCTGGGATGTTATGAATATCCCCCTGTAACTTGACGTTCAGGAGTGCATTATTCATCTTCCCCTTGGTGTTCTGCTTACATTGCTGCCCATGTATTTTTGTAGTGTTTGTTTTCCTTGTAAATATAAAGGGGAAGCTGCTTGGATTTTGGTTGTTAGCTCAAACTCTTTGTGCCACAAGTAAACAGATACTGAGTCTTGTGGAAGAGGAAGTGTAAAGGGGAGGCTCAGTCTCTGCAATAGATCTGATGCACGCAAGGTTGCTTCTTAATTGGTTTCCATCTGATTACCAGTTTACTGTGGTTTTTTTTTGTGCACTGAAATGGATTACTTTGCTGAAAAACAGTGTTTATTTTCTAGTCCATCAAAGAGGCTAACTGAAACTGCACACAGCTTTGAAGATGGGAAGGAAGACAGTTGTGAATTAAACAGAGAACTGAGAAAGGGATTTTATATATATATTTATATATATATGTTGTTGTTACAAAGATTTGAGAGATTTTATTTTGTTTTTTAGCATGGAAAGAAATCTGTTGTATATTGGCTGTCAGGCAAGTCAGAAGAATGCAAACTGTAGTTATGTTTGTTGTGATAGTTACTACACGTTGGGAATTTTTTCTTTTGCTCTGATAGGCTTGCTCAATTATCTTAATCCCAAAAAGAGCCAGAGGAGAGTCTTTAGCTTTCTTTATTCAAATAAAGAGAGAGACTACTGGGGGCATTTCTCTGTAGGCATGTCTCTCAACCCACCAGAGGTTGCAGCTTCTTTTTTATCCCCTCTTCCTGACTACATTGTTCCTTCTCCATTCTTCATTGGCTGAAGTACTTGGAGATTACAGCTTCCTGATCTGCCTAATACATGTTCCCCCTTGTATGTGTATCATATGTTGCATGTGCAGTTAACTTTATGCCACCCAGGGCAGAGAAGTTAATTGGCCTATTAAGCCTGTGTAGTAAATTTCAAATTCCTAAGTTCAGGTTATTGATTGACCTTTGTAACTGAGGCCTTATTTGGTGAGAGTCTACAGACATCAAACAGAGAGGAGTTTGCAAGCCTGTGCCTAATTTGTCTGCATGGACAAATTTGCAAGCCTCTACTATCTCACTTAGCATCCCGTTTTCCAAGGTATTGCATAAAGGTGTGACACTGTCCAGTGCTGGACAGTTTAAGTAAATGGAAAAAGGAAGGGGAAAGTGGTGGGATGTATGTGCTCAGTGGTTATTGTGATGATGATGAGCATCTTATTGACACCATTATTTTTACTGTGATTATGAGTTTAAGTGAGGAAGAAGAAACTCTAAAGAAAGGCGGTAAGAATTTGGGGATGATAAAGCTCAGAGGGTAGATGAGGGTAAATTTGGAAAGAAGCAGGGAGAGGCTATTTGAGTGTGAATAAACCCTGTAAGATTAAAGGGGGAGCTTGCACCGAAACTATAGGGAATCAATGCCTGGAGTTTCCTGATTTGTTGCTTCTGCAATTTCATTTCTTGCTAGATAGGATCCCTTGCTACTTCCTACCTGTGCTATCTTTTCATGTCTGCATTGTGAAGGAGATACACAACACCAACCTTAGTGTCCTAGGACAGTGCCCCGTTGCTTTGGCATTTGTTTTACCCATGACTGAGTTAAGTCAACTCACTCATGCCACAGAAACTGGAATTTTATCAATGTTCATAAACATCTGAAGTGCTGGTGGGACCAAACTCTGAAAAGTGGAGCACAGTGACAGTACAAGGGCAGCACAAATGAACACACAAACGTTCCACGTGAGCATGAGAAGGAACTTGCTTACTTTGAGTGTGACACAGCACTGGAGCAAGCTGCGCAGACAGGCTGTGCAGTTTCCTTCTCTGGAGATTCATAACACACCTGGACACTTACTTGTGTAACCTACTATAGGGAGCCTACTTGAGCAGGGGGGTTGAACAGGATGATCTCCAGAGGTGCTTTCTTACCCCAGTGATTCTGTGATGTTTCTCTCATTTTCTAAACTTTTCTACGTTTTCTGTGTGAATCTGTTTAAGCTTAAGACAGCTTATTTCAGAGTGGAAACCACCATGAAAACTTGCAAGGATTTTTAGAGACACATTGCTGTCTGGCTATTGATGAAGTGAATTTCCAAGAGAATTCTTAGTTTACTTCTCTAACCAAACCAACTGGTTGTCTGAGTCATGAGATACTGTCACTTGGTTACTTTTGTTTTACTTTAGCAAAATATTTATTTCTAAGACCAGGAAAAAGAAGTGAATATAAAATAAACTCAGAAAAATATTAGTCAAAAATCCACTCCTGTGCTGAAAAAAAATTAGAACATACTTGTTTAGATGCACCGAAGGCAATTCAGAATTGAAGCTGTGTCATGGTTTTAGGATTTTGATTATCGGTATTCCACACCGTAACATGTAGTGCACTGGGAGTAAAAAGAGTTAATGTTCCAGTTCCATGCACTGGTCTGGAAGAGAAGAACTACATTCCCCAGAACACTCTGTGTTCAGAAACAAGATATAACCCCTGGCAAAGTCACGAGACCTTCCCTTTCTTTTTTTTGTGTCTCTTCCCTGCTGCTCAGCCTGACAGCACACATCGCCTCAGCGCTATTGTAAGGCCTACAACTTTCAGCTTGTGGATGTACACAGTGTACCCTGTGTATTGCAGGGTGAAGTATGTTCCAGATAGGACTGACTGTTCCCATAGATCTTCACGGTTTATTTTTCCTCCTGTTGTTAGCTACCTTTGCATTTAACAACGTGATAAATTCCAGATGCTAGGCCCTGCATTCCTCTAAACCTTTCCTTTCCAGACTTGGTGGCATTTTAATAAAGCAACACAAATGTTTCTGAGTGTAAGTACGTGTCCGGAGATATGGAAATACCATGGGTAATGTTTCTGGGTCAGTGAGGTAGTCGCATGCAGTAAGGGGTTTGGGTTACTTCGATGGAGAAAAGAATTTTGGCATTATCCAGCATAGTTTTATTATTTCAAATCATCCTGTTGAATAATGGTGTGTTGAAGTTCTTAATGATGTGATATGCTAAGAGAATAGTCAGGAAAAGAGGTAAAGGTTCTCAGGATATCTCCAGTCCAACCTCCTGCTCAGAACAGGTCAGGGTTTCTCAGGGTTTTATCCAGTTGGGTCTTGGAAAACTTGCAAGGAAAGAAATGACACAGCCTCTCTGGAAAGTATGCTCTGTCCTCATGGTAGATACATTTTTTTGCTGCGTATCAAGTCAGAACCTCCTTTGCTTCAGTTTGCATCCATTATCTGTGTCCCGCACTGCACCACCAGGAAGAGCCTGACTCCATCTTCTCAGTAACCTCCTGGCGCCTCACAGGTTGCTCTTGGGTCTCTTTGAAGCCATTTTTTCCTAGATTGAACAAGCTCACGTTCCTCAGCCTCCTCACAGAACAGATGAGGCCTCTGAGCCTCTTTGTGGCCCTCTGCTAGGCTTACTGCAGTTGATCAATATCATTCTTTTTACCAGGGCCGCAAAGTCAAATATATTATTTTAGATACGGTCCAGCAAGTGCTTGGTGAAAGATGATAATTACTTTGCTTGATTAACTCACTAGGCTTCGGTTGGCCTTTATTGCTGCCATGGCACACTCCTGGCTTGTGTTTAGCTGGCTTTTTAATGTAACCCCAAGGGCCTTTCCAGCAGAGCTGCTCTGTGCAAGATGTTTGTCCTTCCCACAGGCAAAGCTTTTGCATTTGTCTTTGTTCTCTTTTATGAGGTTCTCTCAGGCTGTTGAGCTCACTAGCTGATCATCCCGAAG